GGATGGATGGATGGATGGATGGATGGATGGATGGATGGATGGATGGACAGAGAAATAGATGGATGGATAGAGAGGCAGATGGATAAAGAGAGAGAAGTAGAGAGAGGGATGGATAGATAGTGAGATGAATAGAGAGGTAGAGAGATAAATGGATAGATAGATAGCTGGATAGATGGATGGATGGATGAATATATGAATGGATATATACATGGTATGGATAAATGAATAGATAGATGGATAGAGACAAAGAGATATATGGATAGATGGATGGTAGACAGTCAGAGATAGACAGGCAAGCAGATAGGAACATAACATAGTGGATACATGAGGAGTCAGAAAAACCTGGGTTCAGATCCCACCTCTGACAGTTGTTAGCACGGTGACTTTGGAAAAATCATTTAACTTCTCTGAGCCTTAAGCAACTATATAACAATCAATCAATCAACAAGCATTTATTAAACATCTCTGTGTGCCATGCATTCTGCTGGGTATTATGTATATAAGAACAGAAGTGAGACAGTGCTTGCCTTCAAGAAGCTTACAGTCTATTAAGAGGGGGTTGCAAAATGTCTGCAGATAAATGAACATGATCTATAAGATAAGATATTTATTCGGGCGGTGAGTGGCCACTAATAGTTTGTGGAATTGGAAGTGTTCTCTTGATGAGCTGAGCCTTAAAGGAAGCTAGGAGTTCCAGAAACAGAGGTGAAGATGGTTGGTGAAGAGGGAGAGCATTCTGGGCCTGGGGGATTGTCTGTGCAAAGATGGAGAGGCTGGAGAAATGTCATACAAAAGGAAGGCCAAGGAAGCTAGTCTGGCTGGGATATAACATACAGGAGGAGGACTGATGTGTAATTTGCCTAGAAGCATAGACTGGAGCCAGATTGTGAGGAGTTTCTAATGCCAAACAGAGGAATTTGAATTGTACTCTAAGGCAGTGGGGAGACCCTGGACCTTCTGGAGCAAGAAAGTGGCACAGTCAGATCTCTACGTTGAGAATATCCACTTGGCAGCTGTGTGGACGATGGATGGGAGAGAGAACTGACTGGATGCAGGAGCACCAATTGGCACAATCCTGGCCAAAAGCAATGAAGATAGTTATCAATGAGTAGAGAGAAGGGGACAGGTGAGACAGTTTCTCAGCAGTGAACTTAATAAGGCTAGACAGCTAGTTGGATATGAGAGGTGAGAGGGAGTAAAGAATTAAGGATGACTCCTAAGTTGAAATTATAGAAACCTGAAAGAAATCAGGCAGTTAGGGTTTAAAGTGGGAAAGATAATGAGTTCTGTTTGGAACATGTTATGTTTGAGATGTCTATAGGACATAGGAATGGAGAAGTCCAGTAGGCAGTTGGAGATGCCAGACTAGAGCTCAGGAGAAAGATGTCAGCTGAATACGTAAATCTGGAGGTCATTTGCATAAAAACATAGGTCAATTGGTCAAGGAGAGCTGAGATGAGACCACTTGGGGAGACAACAGAGAATGGAACAAAAGAGCTCTGGGGGTAAACCAACAAATGGGAGGAAGGACATAAATGATGATTTCCCAAAGGAGACAAAGGATTGGTTGGTCATGTAGGAAGAGAACCAAGACAAGTCTGGGTCACAAAAATCGGAGCGGAAAGAGTATCTAGAAGGAAGGGAGTGGTCAGCAGTGTAGGGCATGACCGTGAGGACTGGGAAAAGGCTTTCAGAGTTAGCAAAAAAGAGATTGATGATGACCTTGGAGAGAAAAGTTTCAGTCAAATGATGGGGAACTAAGCTAGAGTCTCAGGCATTGAGATTATAAATTGTAGACAGGGTGAGATCAGTGTCGGTGGCAACAAAAATCATAGGCCCTTGAAATACCGTGATGTAAGATTCATGGCTGGAAACTGGAGAACATGCTGATATTGGTTATTCATCCTCTTTCCCAACCATTTTCCATTAGGAGGTCACATGGTATGGCAGAAAGAACATTGGCTCTGGAGTTCAAATCCTACCTCTGAGAGTGGCTTACCTGTGTGACCTTAGACAAGTCCTCTTTGAGCCTTAGATGGCATTAGAGCAAATCAATCAACAAGCACTCATTTAGGCACCTATGGTGTTTCAGGCACAGTGCTAGGCTATAAAGATACAGCAACGAAAAGCTAACAGTCTTTATCTTCAATGAGTTTATGTTCTTGTCCAGTGACTTCTGAAGTCTCCCCTAGATCTATGACCCCATGACCAGATGACCTCTGAGGTTCCTTCCAGCTCCCCTCCCCCCACTATGGATAATTTTCAGGAGTAATCAATCAAAATTCTGTGGCTGCCCCTTTCCTGAAATGATATCTCGTGAAAAGGAAGACTGGGTGGGCCCACTGGAGCAACTGTGTTGTTGCCTACCCTGGTGACTCTGATTCTTGATCTGTCCAGTTTGGGAGGAGGCAGAATTCCCTTACTTTGCTGGTGGGTGGATGATTGCCTATGCAGTCCATCCTGGGAGGGACAACTCAGTCAGGAGTATGAAGAAAGAAAAGTGGGTGCATCTGGAAAAATGACCAGCCCAGAAAACTGAAAATCATCTGTGATTTCTAGCCATCCCCTCTAATCCCAGTTATTCTAGATGCTGGAAATTTGGATCTCAAGTGTCTGCTGAGAATCTCAGCTGAACCAGGTTTATAGAGCCTTCTTTCCATGAATGAGATCATGTTGCTTCATAGTACCTGATTTTAAACTCACATTAATGCCAACCCACAGAGAACTGGTGTTTTGTGGGAATTTTTTTTTCACTTTTACCTTGGTTCTTAGAAAATCATTTCCAAATATTTGGGCAGGAGTCTATGCCCAAGAAAAGATGCCTAGTGGGCCTTTTAATTAGTTAGTCTAGCTTTTTTTATTAAGCACCTAAATCTGGGTGCAACTGTGGGTAGAGAGCAATTGAAAGATTGATATGGAAGACTTGGCATTCTAGCCTAACACTAGGAACAGAGGTTATAACAACGGTATTTTATAAGGAGGGTGAGGAGGGGGGAAGGTCGGTTACTGGGCTACACAGAAATAAGAAAAACAAGCAGGTTTGGAATATCTCCACCCAGAACAGGATCCTACACACCTGAAAGCCAACCTGGCAACCTGCCCGACACATCAGCCCTGTGTTTCTTGCACAACATGAAGCAACGCCTCCACCACTGCTTTTGAACCAGAAAGAATTATGTTGATGTCTAATTTCCCCATCTCTGAGCATGGATTCAGTTTACTATTTGCTAGGATAATACGTCCTGAGGCCTTTGTAAACCTATAAACTCTGGATGAAGATGGTAGCTGGAAATCTTGTTGTGGCATTCTCTACTGCACCTCCACCCCACGGGTCTCTTCTTTCTTTGTGGCTTGAATCTGGAAGGCTTGTACCCTCCAGAGGCAGTCACTCCCTTTCCCAGTGAAACAACTCAGGAGCTGAGTCACCACTGAGGTAGGGGATCAATTAGTCTCTGCTCCCCACCTCCCACTTGGTGAGAACCACATGGCCACCAAGAGAGACAAATGATCCAAGCCCTATGGCTGAGTAATCCACTTTTTGTGAATGCTTCTGGTTTTGGAGGGGAGGGAAATTAACAAAAATGCCTGAAGTGAGAGGACCCTAGAAAGACATCCGTGTACTCGCAAAGCATGGAGTTAATGATGTATCTGCTTTTGTGATGAAGGAGGGAGAAGTTTGGACTGCTTGGCTGCATGTAATTCACTAGTCCCAGGCTAGGAAAAATGTGCGTCATCATTTTTAGTTTTTGCTACAATGGGTGTCTCACCTTTCCTTTTGTTCATACAAGAAATATGAGAAGGAAAAAAATACACAGTACTTCAGGTCAACTCTTCATGGTCCATAAACTTGGGCAAGCCAAGCTTATTGGGGAGCAGTTTGACTTTTCACAGCTGTCTCTTCCACCCCAGTATACTCTGGATACCTTTGGTTCAGAATCAGAGTAACCCAAGGGCAGATCTGGAAGGGACCAGAGAGGTCAGTTGCTCTAATTCCTTCATATTTTTTTTGTTTTCCTTTTCCTGGGATCATAGATTCCAAGCTGGAGAAGACTTCAGAGGCCAGTCACCCTAATGCTTTCTTTTTATAGAGGATGAAACTGAATCTCCGAGAAGTGAACTATCTTACCCAAGGTCACCCAGGGAGTAATGATGGAGTCAAGATCCTTTTATTACAAATCTAGTGTTCTTTTTCCTGCATCACAATTCCCTCCCTTTACTTCCTGTTTCTCTCTTTTCTCATGTTTCAATGACCTTGGACCTGAAAATTCCAGTGGCTACTTCCTTCATTGTCCAAAGTAATTCAAGGAATATTCTCCTTAGTGTTTCATTTCAGGCGCTCATTTATCCCCCCCCTCCCCTGCACTAATTTGACTTGGCGAGACTCATGGTTGATCAAAACAGAGCTGGAAACAAAGACTGGATTTACTTAAGAAAAACAACTAGGATCTTTAGTGCCAGACACCCTTAGCTGGGTCTATGTTTTAGCTCATGGGATCATACAGTTAAATCTGGAAGGGATCTTGGCACTAACTAGTTCGACCAATTCATTATATAGGTGAGGAAACTGAGGCCCAAGTGAGTTGCTCAAAGTCATGCAGGTTCATGTGATTTAGAGGCAATAGGAACCTCAGGTTCCTTCTAATCCAGGGGTGGGAGAACCCGCGGCCTCAAGGCTACATGTGGCCTTCTAGGTCCTCGGATGTGACCTTTTGACTGAGTCCAAGTTTTACAGAACAAATCCTTTTTATTAAGGGGATCTGTTCTGTGAAGTTTGGATTTAGTCAAAGGGCTGCACCTGAGGATCTAGAGGGCCACATGTGGCCCCGAGGCTGCAGGTTCCCCACCCCCTCCTTTGGCAGATGGGAAGAGAGAGGCCCAGGGAAGTGAAATGATTTACCCAAGGTCCTATAAGTATCAGAGGCAGGATTTGAACCCAGTCCCTCCAAACTCAGTGCTTTTTCTGCTATAATAGGTATGAATGACAGAGGCAGAATTTAAACCCAGGTCCTCTGACCTCATGGTTAGTACTCTTTCTATTATATCAGCTACTAAATGGCAGAGCCAAGATTTGAACCCAGTTCCTTTCCCTTCGGTTTCAGTGTTCTTTCCCCTGCACTTCAGAGTTCAATTCCAGGTCGGGGAGGAGGAGGACCAGGGGTGGGGCTGGGAAATCTTCATCATCATCATTAACTAACATTCAAATGCCTACCATAGATAGGAAACCATTCTACCTTGTACTTAGAAAGTCTCTTGTCTCTTTCTTTGGTGTACTAGTTACCTTCAATGATCAGGTGGAAATCCTTGATCTCCAATTTCAGAGGCGACTTTGCATGGCAACTGTATGTCCCGTTGTCGGATTTCAGGACTTTGGAGATGGACAGCTGGAACAGCTCACTCGTCTGATATATTTGGTGATGGTTTTTCTCCAGATTCAGGACACTGTCATTTTTGTACCACATCATTTGAGCCTGGGGGTTGGCCTTCACATTACAGTCTAATTTTATACTGCTTCCTTCCTCGGCTGTTTGGAGGTCTGTCCCGCCCAGAATAGGTTCATCTGCACAGAACAATCAATTAGGTTTAGTTAGTGGACTAGCAAGATCTTGTTTAAAACTCTCTATATTGTGACAGTACATTGTTGATGCTGCAAAGGTAGCTATAGCCTAAGGATCTAAGCATCTCATCCACAGAGCTGGAAGAGACCCCAGAGTCCATTCAGAACAACCCTCATATGAATGAGAATTCCTTCTACATTCAACGTACCCAACAAGAGGCCAATTAGCCTTTGGTTGAAGATGCCATCAAGGGGAAGCCCACTACCCTCCAAAGCAGCCCATTTAATTTCCCAATGTCTCTAATTATTTGAATATTTTTCCATAGATACAAACTTAAATTTGCCTTCTTGCAAAGTGGAAAGAGTGCGGATTTGAAGTCAGAGGGTCATAAGAGCATAGGGTCATAAGGTAGGCTCTATCGCAAACTTCCAGGGATGAATGAGATGAACCTAAATTCTCCCCTTCCCCAGGGAGCTATTTAATTTGTCCCTGGAAGCTTGCAGGAGGGGCTCCAATAGCACCATAGCATCTAGAGTGGCCCTCTAGTCCCTGTTCTAGATATTAGTCCTCTCTCGATGCAGCCTAAGATTTTATCCATTTTATTGACTACCATGTCCCACTTTTGACTCATATTAATCTTGTGGTCTACAATTAAAAAACAAATTAGATCTTTTTCAGATGGGCTGTTGTCCAACCATACTTCTCCCATCTCGTACTTGTGAAGTGAACTTTTTTCAACCCAAGTATAAGTCTTTACATTATCTACATTAAATTCCATGTTGCTAGATTGGTGCTACATAAAGAATACAGGATTTAGAAGTCTGAAACCCTGGGTTCAAATTCCAGCACTATCACTTACTACCTGTGTGAACATGGATAGGTCATTGATCTCTCTCAATTTCCTCATCTGTAGAAGGAGAGCTTTGGATTAGATGATCGTTAAAGGCCCTTCCAGCTCTAAATTTATGACTCTACTTGCTACCCTGTTAAATTAATTCAACTCCATAAACATTTATTATTCACTCCCTCAGAGACAGCCTCTGGGAAATACAAAGATGAAAAAAAATGAAACAAGAACTGCCTTGAAGGAGCTTATATTCTACTGGAATTAATCCATTCTATTGTGTTAAAATCCATTTCCCTCCTTGGGCCTCAGTTTCCTAATCTGTAAAATGAAGGAATTGAACTAAATTATCTCTAAAGTCTCTTACAGCTCTAAATCTAGTATCCTTGCTCATCCCAGTTTTATGGCTAACTGAAACAGACATATTATCCTTAAGCTTTATCCTAGTTAATGTGTCTATTTTTTTGCCCCATTAAGGTTGAGTGAAAGACTTTGGAATCAGAGGACCTGAGTTCAAATCCTGCCTCTGATTATTTCTAACCATGAGACCTTGGGCAAGTCATTTGACTTCTCTTGGTTCTGTTTTCTCACTTTCAAAATCAGGAAATTGGACTAGATATGGGGGGGAGGGGTCTTCCTGCTCTATAGCTCTATAGCACAAGGACTTCAACAAGCAGAAGAATTGGCTGGTTTGAATTTTCCCTTCATTTCTATGCCATGTCTATTGTCAGAGGTGCAAACTGGCAACAGAGAGGCCAAAAAGAGAGCAGCAGGTTTGAAGAGAAGGAGAAAGGGGAAAGAGCCACAAAATTAACACAATGAATAATTAGCCCAGGAATAATGGAGGCTAGGCTGAGCTATGAATAGCTCCTTTGAAGACCTGGCTTTTCAGAGTTCTTCTGAACATGTTTCAATTATGCTCAGCCTAATAGAAATGGCACATAGATATTTTTTGGATATGTGGGATGTTTCAATGACCTATGTTGTTGTGTTCTGAAAGTTTATTGTGGAATGCCCTTTTTCTTTTTTTCTTTCTTTCAAAGGCCCCACTAGATATGCTTAGTTTCCCCTTTCTCTTCCCTTCCCTTCCCTTTTCCTTTCTTTCCTTCTCTTTCTTTCTTTTTTTCTTTCTTTCTTTTACAAGTCATGTAAGTTCTCTGGACCTAAGTTTCCTTATCTGTAAATGAAGGTCCCTTTCAGCTCTAGATCTGTGACCCTCTTAACACCACATCATAAATTAGTTCATGAAAGCCATTCTAGCTTGCTGGAACTAAGTCCTGACTGAGGGAAGAGTGGAGAGGGAGATCCAAAGCATGGGGCTCTCCTAGAAAGGAGGTTAGTATTGGATGGATAACATTCTAGCTAGCCAGAGGGCAAGGAGGGCTATACTTGATACCCAAGAAGAAGTGGGGATCTTTCAGTGAAGGGCAAGAAAAGTGTAAAGCCACAAGAAGAACCAAAAAGTCAATGTGGTCTAATTCAGGCATAGCACAGTTGACTGTTGTTATTTTTCAGTCATGACCCCACATGGGGTTTTCTTGACAAATACTGGAGTGCTTTGCTATTCCCATCTCTAACTTATTTTACAGATGAGGAAACTGAGGCAAACAGGGTTAAGTGACTTGACCAGGGTCACCCAGCAAGTAAGTGTCTGGGACCAGATTTGAACTCAGGAAGATGAGTCTTCCTGGTTTCAAGCCCAGAGCTCTATCCACTGCACCACCAAGCTGCCCCAAGCACAGTGGACTATCACCTCCTTAGCTCCATGCTTCTCTTAATATGATCTCAAACCACATTGATAGAGTCCAAGACCAGCTTTGGGGTCTGCTATTTCATCCTTTTGACTCATATTGAGTTTGCTAGCTCTCTTTCAGATGATGAGCTGGTGTCTAGGTAGTCTTTCCTTATCTTGTGCTTGTGATATTGGTTTTACTGGACCTCAGTTGGAAAACAGATGGTACTGGGGAAAGAATGTATCCCAGCTCTACTATTTACTACCTGTGTGACCTTGAACAAATCACTTCTCTGCTCCTCGACTTTCTATTGGTCCTCATTAAATTTCGTCTTGTTGGGTTTAGCCTGAGACTCTCACCTGTCCAGATCTTTGGGGATTTTGCCTCAGTTATCCAGCATCTTACTTGACCCTTCTAGCTTTGGGTCACCTGCAAATTTGGTAAGCCTGCCATCTGTGGCTTTTTCCAAACCATAGGGTCATAGATTAAGAGCTCATAGAGGCATCTTAGAGGGCATCTAGCCAGTGCTTTTTAAATTTTATTTATTTATTTATTCATATTTTTTTCTACAGAGGACACTGAAGTCTGGAGTGGTTAAATGTCCAGGTCAATCACATAAAAAGTGGCAGAGTTGGGATAGAACCCAAGTCCCCTAATTCCAAGGGCAGCTAGGTGGCACAGTAGATGGAGTGCCAGACCTGGAGTCAGGAAAACTCATCTTCCTGTATTCCAATCTGGCCTCAGACACTTACTAGCTGGGTGACCCTGGGCAAGCCACTTACCTCAGTTTCCTCATCTGTAAAATTATCTGGAAAGGGAAATGGCAAACCGCTCCAGTATCTCTGCCAAGAAAACCCTAAATGGGGTCACGAAGAGTCAGATGTGACTGAAAACAATTAAACAACAACAACCTTTGATTCCAAATCCAACACTCTTTCCACTTTGCATGCCATTGATAAAAGAATTATATGGCACAGAACCAAGCATAGAGACCATGGGCATGCCACTGGAGACCTCCTTCCAACCTGCCATTGAATCATTAATGATTACTCTTCTGGCCATTTGGCCAGTTCTTAATATTTATAATATTTTAAATAAATATCACAACGATGTTGTTGAGTCATTTCAGTTGTGTTTGACTCTAGTCATAACATTACATTATATTATTATAAAGAAAGAAAGCACTTAGTGCTATGCCTAGTACATAAGCTCTATGTAAATGTTAGCTACCATCATCATCATCACCACCATCATCATCATTAATCCACTTAATTCCACTATTATGGTCTAATTCAGGAATTGGTAAACTACAACCCTTGGGCCACATTTGGCCCATTGCCTGTTTTTGTACATCCCATGAGCTCCTGGGCCATGCAAATAGTCCACTTTTCAAATATACATCTGGCTTATTTATGCCCTTGGAGATGAAGGTGAGATTGTTTTCTTTCTTTCATTTCAAGTCCAGTATTAACTCTGGCGGAAAATGGAGCAAAGCCTTTGGAATTCCAAGGGTTTTTGGTCCCACCAACTATGGTGGGACGAGTAGCCTCAACTTCTGTTTCTCAGTCAAGTTCTGAAACTTTTATCTGACACACAAGGACTGTATTCACCTCTGGCCTGGACAGTTGTAATAGCTTCCTGTTGGGTCTCCCTATCTCAGCCAAAGTGACTTTCCTAAAGCGCAGGGCTGACCATGACCCTCTGCTCCTCAGTTAACTCCAACAGCCCCCTCTTGACTCTAGATCTAATCTAAATGTCTCTCTTAGGCATTTAAAGTCTGGTCACAACCTGGCTCCCTCCCGCTTTTCCAATCTTCTTGTGTATCATTCCCCTCCACACACTTTGCCATCCAGTGTTGGGCACACACCCCACTCCATCTCCCACCCGTGTCTTTGCCCTGGATTTCTCCCATTCCTATGACATATTCCCTCTTCAGCTCTACCTCTTGGAATGAATGGCTTCCTTCACAATTCAGATCAAGTGCAACCTTGATCTGACACCTGATTTCACCCTCCCTGGGCCCTCCATCCCAAGCTACTTTGCATTCATTTGGTATACATATATTGTGTTTCTATTTCAAACCTATGTATTGTCATCTCTCTACCCCATAGAATGTAAGCTCTTGGAGGGCAAGAACTGTTCCACTTTTGTCTTTGTATCACCAGCACCTAGCACAGCACCTGAAACATAGTAAGTGCTTAATAAATGTTTCTTAACTGATTGTGATTAAAGTTAGGGTTGCTCGCCCCTCAACTCACAAGTGACATCCAAAATCACTGAAATGCTCATGGATTCATTCCGTTGCAACTTGCAGGTGAAGGTGATTCCATTGTCATCCGCTCTGATGGGATAGATGCAGATGTCACTGGAGTTGATTTTGTTTTCAGCTTTCAGGTCCACCCTCCCATTTTTCCGGTACCAGAGTAACTCTTCAGCTTGGCTGTGATTCTGAACGGCACATTTCAGAGACTCCGAAGTGCCGGGCGTGGTTTGCAGGACAAAGTTTTGAGTATTGTTATTCACGGTTAGGATGACATCTGGAAACACACACACACAGAGAAATGATTGTAAAGACAGGTATGGGCCTGGAAGGGATGTTAAAGGTTCTCTAATTCAGAGATGTCAAACACCCAAATTAAAATACAATTGGGAAATATTTTTAAATAAATAAATTTTTAAATAAATAAAATAATATTTTAAATAAATAAGTAAATTTTTAAATAAATAAATTTTAAATAAATAATTTTAAATTAAAAATAAAATAGAACATAGATAATGTTAATATGTGTTTTTCTAAGTCAATATGCAGTCTTCAGGGATCCTTATGTATGATTTAGTGACCCCTTTTCTATTTGAGCTTGATGCCATTGTGAGATTAGTTCAACCCCCACATTTTACGACGAGGAAACTGAGGCAGAGATGTTAAGTGGTTTGTCCAAAGATCCAAGCTTGATCTTACCCTCTTGATTCAACAATATTATTGCTATGAGTTTATCCTACACTTATAAAAAGAATTGGCTAGCTTACAGTGAATGCTTTCTGTCTCTTCCTCCCTTCTGGATAGGAGTAGAGCCAAATCCTTCCCAGGCCTTTTTTATCTCCTACATGTAATGTGGTATAGGGTTTGATCTTTTTACTGGTCACTGCTTTTTCCAAAGCTACCCCTTTTATCTCTGGAGATTTAATCAGCCTTTATCCTAGTACAACAATCAGCCCCTCTTTTATTCTTGGGGCAATCCAATGGCTGTCAGGTTCACAGCAGTCCCTTCCCATGTTGTTTTGTGTAGTTTATATCAGATGAGAAGTTAGTAATACAATCACATTGGTTAAGAGCCCCCAGTTAGGGATGGCTAGAATAATACAAAAGAGAAAAACATTAATAGGGCAACCTAACTTAAATAAAGACAATGACCAGTATTGTTCCAGAGAACAGATTCTCTCCCGTTAGTAGATAGTGTATGCTATCATGTGGTTTCTGTGTCAGTTGGTTATTTTTCTTTGTGACAAAGGAGGCTCCTATGGGAGGTATCATATAAAAAAACAAAAGGAATCAATAAAACTTGTTTTTTTTAAAAAAAGACTTTAACTTACTCATTAATCCACATGGCAGAAGTAAAATCACTAAGAGCAGTGACCCATAGCTCTGCATTACTCTGTTCTCCTCCCAGATCATCTTTAGTAATGTCACTGCCAAAAAAAAAAATTCAGATGTGCTTGGTAATCATGTGCCAGCAGGCCTGTGTTTGTGTTTGTGTTTTGTTTTGTTTTGTTTGGACAGAGCTTGTGATTCCATTGGTATGGGCAGGTCAGCAACAATTCTGAAATTTATAGCAGCCTGGTACAGTGAGAGGTTAAGTGATTCACCAGGATCTCACAGCCAATATGGTAAGAAGCAGGCTCACAAGTTCATAGATTTAAACCTGAAAAGGACCTGTGAGGTCATCTAGTCCAATCCTCCTACATAACAGATAAAGAGGCTGAGGTCCATAGAGGTTAAATGATGCCCAAGATCACACAGGCAGTAGTAAATAGCAGAGCCAGGATTCAAACCCAGATCCTCTAACCCCAAATCTAGCATGCTTTCTGCTGTACCACCATGGGCCCTGTGTCAGAAGAAGGACTTTAAGCCAGTTCTTCCTGACTTTAAATCCAGTGCTCTGTTCACCAGGCTAGGCTACCTGTAAATGCTTTTTATTCAACCTAAAAACAGTTCCAGCTGAGCTACAAACTTAACAGTCTTGTTCCAGCTTTAAGTTCATTTAGCCTTGAGAAATTGTAACAAAAAAATTAAATCTCTGGGAGGCATTGACCTGTAGAAGATAGGCATGAGATATGACAAGTGTGGGAAAATAGAAACAAATACATTCTTCACTGTAGAAAAAAAATCAGAATATAATTTTTAGCTATGGAGAAATAATGCACACATAGAGAAATAATATGGCATCCTTTTTCATTCTCACGTGGGAAATGGAGATAATAGATTTAGAGAGACCTTAGTCCAATCCCCCATTTTATAGGTGAGAAAACTGAGGTCCAGAGAGGTTAATGAGTTACCCAAGGTCACACAGATAGTAATTGAAAATCTGCCCTAAATAAGATTCCAAATGCTAAAAGCATTTTCCATCCTTCAATGGCAGAGAAATAAAGGAATATAGCACCTAGTTAGCAAAAAGAATTAAAGTAGGAAGCTACAGATATGAGTTTCTTCCTAGTCAAGCTCTACCTTTCTTCTGCTGCTCCATTCTCTCTCTCGTCTATGTTCTTCTGATGTCTTTAAGTCTCTACCCAGTGCAAAGGTAAGGGGAGTTGGGAATAGCATTGGGAATTTGGAGGGAGAGGAGGAGTAACTTTTTTGGTGTTGTCCCTTCCTGGTTTGTGCTGTTCCTGCTGTAAAACTTGTAAGTTATAACTCTGGTCTGAGCAATCATCATGTTGATCCAGTAAACTCCTTTTTTAGATCTTCTTTGTGAAAGGGGCTTTGTTAGAAGAGGATGTCTCAGGGGCAGCTAGGTGGCACAGTGGATAGAGCACCAGCCATGGAGTCAGGAAGACCTGAGTTCAAATCTGGTCTCAGACCAGACACTTGACACTAGCTGTGTGACCCTGGGCAAGTCATTTAACCCATTGCCTCGCAAAAACAAAAAACAAAACAAAAAAGATATCTCTGTGATTTCCCCAAAATCCTCAACTCAGCTTCTGGTGCCTTGGAATAGAGGCAATTTCAACATGGCCTCTCTATTCCAACCAAGATATTTTCTTTATTATCCCTTGTACAAGTCACTTCCCTCTCTTTGGACCTCAGTTTTTTCATCTGTAAGATGGACTAGTTGAACACTAAAGTCTTTTCCAGCTCTGAAATGCTAAGACTATGACAAAGTCCCCTTGCTCCTGTCTCCATGCCTCTCTTTATGTATGCTTTTCTCTCTATCCACCCCACCTCCATCCCCATCTGGAGCCATACCTAGTGTGATGTGAGTAGAACCCCAAGGTACTAACATCCTTATGGTGATCCTATGGTTCACTTTTCTTCTGCCTTGCTTTCTTCTGCAAGCCCTATGCCTTCTAGGGCCCCAAGGATAACCCCATGCCACCCTCTGCTCACCCAGGGCCTGGCTTCTAGCACAAAGGTCCCTCTCCTCCCTCAGCCCATCCCTGCATCCATCTACCTGCTATCTCTATCTTCCCATCCCCAGGGATTGCTTGGTATAACTGCACTTGACCAAGGCGGGCTGTCTTCTCCATGCTCTGACCTCCATTGCTTCTTCTCCTCCCCCCACTACAGAAATAGTCCTAGGCATCAGAATTCCAAGTTAGGATTCTGCCCTTTCCCATCACCTGAAATGTCCCATCCCCATAAAAATCAGTTACATCTTTCCCTTTAAGGCCTATCTTAATATTCACCTCCTCCAAGCAGCCTTTCCTGATTGATACTAGTCTACTCCTTATCATTAAGCATATTATTTACAATTTTGAGAAACACACATATTAAACTTTGAGTACTTTAGGCACTATTCACTACTGTGGGTCCTCTCTTCACCAGTGCAGGTTAAAACTCTTCTATGACACAATAGTTTTTTTCATGGCTGAAAAATTAATCACCCCTGCCCAAACTGTGCGTGAGCCTCACTGAACTTGGGTAGGCAGGTCTTCCTGGGATAGACGGCAAACACAGTTTGTCATGGGTCCTCTATATGAGGCTTTTACAGCTTGGTAGTACCTGACAAATCTCATGTGCTGCTGCAAGAGCCTTTAAGAAGACAGGGTCACCTCCATACCACGTTAAGACATCAAGAGATAGTTAAATATACATGTAGGTGTATGTAAACACACATATGGGATAGGGATTGGACTGTAATTCCATTGGTGAAGGAAACTCCCAGAGAAGGAAACTCCCTCTACTCATGTAGGTCAGCACCTCTCCAATCTATAATCTACACTAATTTCTAGAGCAGGGGGATGTGCAGTGACTTGCCCAGGGTCATGTAGCTGGTAGGTGCCAGAGGTGGGGCTTGACAACCTGTCTTACCAGGTTGGAGGCTAGTTCTCTATCCATTGTGCCACACTACCTCTCATGTAAAAATAGGGGAAGCAGCATGGCCTAATGGGTGGAGATGAGAGCTGACCTTAGAGCCAGAAAGACCTGGGTTCAAGCTGCCCCTCTGACATACCTTGGCAGTGTGACTCTGGGGAAGTCACGTCCCTTCTCAGTGCTCCAGGCAGCTCTCTAAGGCTATAAATTCCATGCCAGGAACCCAGTCCACATCAGAAGAGGCAATTCCCTCTCAGGGAACTTGAAATCATAGGTCCAGTTTGTATATGTATGTATGTGTATACATACACACATACACAGAAACATACACATATATATGTATATATTTGTGTGTGTATAGAAAGAAATAAAGAAGAGAGATGAGAGCGGGTGAAAGAGAGAAGAGAAAGAGACAGTGAGATGAAGAGGGGAGGGGAGAGAGAGAGAGAAAGAGAGAGAGAGAGAGAGAGAGAGAGAGAGAGAGAGAGAACCCTAGTATAGTGGATAAAGAGTCAGACTTGGAGTCAGGAAGTCCTGAGTTCAAACTATACCTATGCCAAATGCTGACTGTGTGAGCCTAAGCAAGTCACTTAAACTCTCGGTGCCTGCAGCGAACTTTAAAGACTATAAATTACAGAGGAGGCACCAACATGCAGTGGAATAGAGTTCCCTCATAATCTCTCTCTCTCTCTCTCTGTGTCTCTGTCTCTGTCTCTCTCTTTCTCTGTCTCTCTCTGTTCCTCTATCTCTCTGTCTCTATATCTGTCTGTCTCTGTCTCTCTTTCTCTCTCTCTCTCTCCTCTCTCTCTCTGTCCTTCTATCTCCGTCTCTCTCTCTCTCACACACACACAAATATATATTCTATATAAAGATATAGATATGGAAATATGTGTATATATCTACACACAAATGAAAGGGTATATGTATACATACATGCATAATACATGCACACACACACACACACACAAACCTTTGAAAGTTATTGTAGCATGGTGGATAGAGAATGGATAGAAACTGGACTTTGGGGCCAAGAACTGGGTTAAGTCCCACCTATGACATACTGTGGGACCCTGGGCAAGTCACTCATCTTCTCAATGCTCTAAGCAACTCTCTCAGACTATAAGTAGCAGAGAAGGTGCTTACTTCCATAGGTAAAGAGAGCTTCCCCAACCAGAGAGTTCCTTATACCAATGAAATCATAGATCTAGTTCCTATCATATAGATGCCACACTGGATAGATCACTGAGCTTATAATCAGGAAGAATCATCTTCATGAGTTCAAATCTGGCCTCAGACACTTACTAGCTGTGTGACCCTGGGCAAGTCATTTAATTCTGTTTGCCTCAGTTTCCTCAACTATAAAATGAGCTGGAGAAGAAAATGACAAACCACTAAAGCATCTTTGCCAAGAAAACCCCAAATGGAGTCGTGAAGAGTTGAATATAACTGAAGTGACTCAATAACAATAACAAACATGTGATATATAATGATACATGCATATATATGTATTATATATAGCTTTCTATAAAGTTTGCAAAGGACTTTACATATTTTACTTCAGTTGAGCCTCAGTGCAACAGGTATCACTCTCTCCATTTTGCAGATGAGAAAACTGAGCCTCAGAGAGGTAAAATTACTTGCCCAAGATCACCCAACTTGTATTTGCCTGAGGTATAACTCGAACTCAGGTCTCCCCAACTCCATGCCCAACATTCTTACCACTATCCTTCACTGCTTCTCTATATAACTGTACTTGTTCATTCATTGCTTGGCAATTGGACTGTAAGTATTCTATATGTCCACGTACGTTATAATCAGCAGGATCATCTGCTCTTCCAAAGCGGTTGTCCAGACTATGACTTCTTTGTTCTTCCAGGACCTGATAAATACTATGTTATGCATATAGAAGTTGTACTAAATGAATAATTATGGGACTCTGGGGAGCCCTTACTTTAGTCACAGGACCGTAGCTCTAGAGTTAGAAGACACCTCAGAGGCCATGTAATCCAAACCTCTCATCTTACATGTGGGGAAACTGAGGCTCAGAGAGATTTAAGTGATTTCCCCAGCATCACACAGGTGGTAGAACCAGGGTAGATAGAGCTGCTCACTAGGAGGCAGCCTAGTGCAGAAGATAGATGAAC